ACACATATCCCAAGCTGACAACTAGTGCATCTGGCAGTTTTGACCTCAGAGTGAAGGCACTGTAAGAGAGGGGTGTGGAGGGCTATCTACACTATTCCAACAATAACCCCCCCCATAAAAATCTGGCTGCAAATATTTAAAAGTGCAATTCAACCCTATTTCCCCGAGTGCCAGTGAAGTGTGGGGCCCAATCACGAAACAAGATTTACACTAAATGGGCCAAACACCCCCTGCACACAAAGCTATGTTAAAACATTCTCCATGTGCAGAGAAAAACACCTAACAAACACCTAACATGAATTTTAATAACACTTAATTCCGAGGTACGTTCAATGCATTCCTTCTTTGGTGGTTAGTCTCCTGTATGAATCCGTTTATGATTTTTGAGGGCTCCTGCCTGGTTGAAACTCTTCCCACAGTGTTCACAGCAGTACGGGCTCTGTCTTGTGTGAATCCGCTCATGATACTTGAGGGCACCTGCTTGTCTGAAGCTCTTCCCACACTGTTCACACCAGTACGGTCTCTCTCCGGTGTGGATCCATTCGTGTTTCTTGAGATTCGCTGCCTGACTGAAACTCCTCCCACACTGTTCACAGCGGTACGGTCTCTCTCCTGTGTGAATTCTTTCGTGACGCCTGAGGACTCCTGCCTGGTTGAAGCTCTTCCCACACTGTGCACAGCAGTACGGCCTGGCTCTAGTGTGGATCCGCTCGTGATACTTGAGGACTCCTGCCTGGATAAAGCTCTTCCCACACTGTTCACAACAGTACGGTTTCTCTCCTGTGTGGATCCGCTCATGAGTCTTGAGGTACCCCGAACTTCTGAAGCTCTTCCCACACTGTTCACAGCAGAAAGGTCTCCCTCCTGTGTGGATCTGTTTGTGGCGTATGAGGGCTGCAACCACACTGAAGCTCTTCCCACAGTGCTCACAGCAGTATGGTCTGTCTGCAGTGTGAATCCGTTCATGATACTTGAGGGCTCCTCCCTGACTGAAACTCTTCCCACACTGCTCACAGCAGAAAGGTTTCTCTCCCGTGTGGATCCGTTCATGAGTCTTGAGGTACCCTGAACTTCTGAAGCTCTTCCCACACTGTTCACAGCAGAAAGGTCTCTCTCCTGTGTGGATCCGTTCGTGAGTCTTGAGAGCTCCTGAACTTCT